GCCCTTTCCTAAGCACACCATTCTTTCCAATTATTTTTCAGGAAATCGCTCAAACTTTTCAAATTGGCTAGCTGTCTAGTCGGGTGCAGCTTTCCATAGAATTCCGAGATAGCCGTGATAGAGGGTATCTTGATCCTTAGCACATGCAGTGACCCATGTTTCTAAATCATATGTAGGTGACTTTGTGACTAGGGTTTCTTTAGCATGGAAAGGTTTCACTGATCGTCACCCAAGTAATCTTATTAGAACTGGCAGAATCCAATGAAGAAATGGAAGAAAAGGACGAAAATGAAATGAAAATCTCAATAGCAGCTGTTGCTTTATTCAGAAAACTTTTTCAAAGGTGTTAAAAGCATTCATTTCATTTTATGTAATTTTTTCTACTAGTATTAAATGGGCTTCAGTTTCTTTTGGAACTCTTAACTGTATGTCAGGTCTAAAACAGCATAAAAGTGGAGAAATTTCATTGAAGAGGAGAGGATAAATCCCAATCCGTTTTTCATTTTTTCTTCAGTAAAATGTAAAAAAAATTGTAAAGCTCTCTGCATTGATCAATCCCTGAAGGAATGCTCCATGCATTCGACTTCGTTAAGCATCGTTGAAAGTGATTGAATGCATATCTGGCCTTTACTGACTCGCGGTGGCCTACCGATGCATCGAGCCAGCGCTGCTATCATTTCAGACAAGTCTGGTACCAATCAGATGACCCCGGAGGGATGGAAGGCTTGGAGAAAAAAACCTCGCGATATTAATTTACTCAAAAATCAATCCTGGATTTGTGACTTCATTTTTCTTTTTGTGCATTAACGGGGTATGGACGTAAGGAAGGGTTAACCGATGCACAGTGCGCCTCTGAATTGTAAAATTTCGGCGTCGCGAATTCGACCTTTAAGCAGAAAGATATCTGCGACGTTCTGCCAATGACGACAATGTGTGGCAAACTTTGGCAGAAGCAAGTACAGAAACAACTGTTTGGGAAACTTAACAAAAAATTGGGTGTAAACATTCCAACTGTGCCAAAGCATCCAAAAATAGTTGCAAAATCGAGGAAGGGCGACAAATGGATACCGCACGAATTGAAAAACAATCAAAGAAATCAATGTTTTCAGGTATCATCAAAGCTTCTTCTAGGCAATCATAACTACGGGTTACCCGACAATACATTGATAGGCGACGAGAGTTGGGTTCTCTATGTTAAATTGTGACGATTTGCTCAGTGATGGACTTCGATGAGGCTCCGCATCACTTCTCTATACTGAAATAACACTAAGGATAGGCTATGCTGACCGCTTAGTGATGTGCAACTTGTTTGATCTATTACAGCTTCCTATATACGGGTGACACGACCGTGGCATGGTAGTGTGTCTACTAACTCGAATAAATACATTGGAGGTTTCAATGGCTGTTGTACCACATTGATCAACAGAAAGGATCAATCCTTCAAGACAAGGCGTACCCACACAGCGAATGACCTAGGTTGCAAAAGTGGAACGAGTGAGAATATGAAGCTCTTCCTTTACCATTGTACTCGCCAGACCTCTCAACTATTGGCTACCCCTTATTCGCGCATTTCGAAGGCGTCCAATATGAGAAATGTTGTAGAAACTTTACCAAGGCAGAAACTGCCTTCCACGACCTCATCGCCTCTAAAAGTCCAGAATTATGTTGGAACAATACAACAAGGTTCTTTCTATTTGACAAAAATGTATACATTCTGATGGCTTTATTTAGAATAATAAGGTTAAAGATATGCCACTTTTACAAAACACGTTGAAGTCCTACATCATTTTCCAAAGGAACTGTTACAGTGACTTACTCGAGCCTACTACCATGTGGCAGATCGCAGCCTCGAATCAACGACCATTACTGCACTATTATGCGCCTCTAACAATTCATCTAGATTTGCTAAGTTGCAGCGAAAACGTGAAGCCCTACTCCGCTAGTGGTTTAGGGAAGGTTCTTGAAATAAATGACAACAAGAAATCACGTTTGCTGAGATCGACGCATAAAGGGAACCATCACAACTTCTTAGTCATTTGGCATGGTCGAAAGAATTGATGCTGGGAAAGCTTCGAAAGCATTTTAAAAAACAAAGAAATGACTCGGATTACAAGCGAAGCAACATCTTCAGAAAAAAAATCGGGAAAACGAAGTTATTCCATAAAGAATAAGAGCGTTTGGCGTTGCTCAATCCATCAAGGATGTGTTCCTGTCTACGTTAGAACGCTTAAGCCGGGCTATCTCCAAGAATGCAAGAAGAATCTACTCCATCAATAATCGAGTAAACGTGATTTAACGCAAGTCTGATTTATACAATGACTAGCGGTGGCTTACTGATGTATCAACTCACTGCTGCTCTCCTACACACAATTCTGGCAATAAGTTTGCAGAGCCCGATAGGACGGGAAGCTCTGCGATCCCGATGCTAAGGATAGCACCAATGGCAGGTACGTATTACGTATTTCAAGGCACATTTAACCACTGCACTACACGTGCCAGGTTACCTAGTAAAGATATTTCTTAGGACCTACTAATCTTACCACGCTTCCAGTTTGCTGTATTATTAGTTTTCAACGCAATTTTATGGGCAACGTGAATAATTTTAACAAACAAAAAATACACCACTCCATCATCAACAAAGGATAAAACGTTAACACCAAAGATGACGATGGTTCCAGGATTCATTATCTGTATGGTCAGTCGGAAACAATACCCATAAAACGTGGTATGCCCATTGTTGCGGTAGAAATAACATCACATCCTCGGATTTGAATGATAGGGCATTTCACGGTCTTCCACTAGAATTCCTCTAGACATCCAATATCGTAACAAACTCAAAAAAAACAGCCAGTACTAGTAAAACAGGAGTCGGACGTTCACAATTTTCTCTTCAAATCTTCGTCCGCAAAAAAAATGAGTTTGACGGAATGGGTCGAACATCTTAATTTTCTGTGATACAACCGTCATGATGCTAAGACATTGCAAAACTTTGGACCGTAGGTGTCTTCGGTGGGTAACAAACGCGCTATCACCCTTTCTCGGGGTTAACGCGCTCGCCACGACACCATGTGAGTCCTTCGTTTTGCCTGTCTCCCAGCTAGTTTTTTCGGGTTCAATGCCGATTTGGGTTCACCAGATCAATCACGCTGACGGGTAACTGCTGATAGCACTGATAGATAGAAAATTAAGTGAAAGACAGGAGAAGCGAAGAACCCACATGGTGTGGTTATGAATGTGTTATCCCCAGAAAGGGTATTAGCGTGTTCGTTCCCCACCACAGACACCTGCGGTCAAGAGTCTTGCAAATATCTCAGCATCATTGTGGCTGTATCACTGGTAATACCCTGCCGTGAAAAACTTGAGTCCACTTTGTACTTCTTCAGCAACCTTTGAAAAGATGAATGCTGTCGATCATTTCACACTGTGCGGCAATGCAAACTTACGCCTTACGGCTTTGACGCCTTAATGTCCATATGTGAAGTGAAATCAAAGAAATCTTACGTCTTTAACAAAAAAATTGCGTGCACTAGCCCAATTGACAATTCCTAGTGTTTCCTCGAAAGAGTGGGATCTAGTGCCGTAGAGTTTGGAGCTCTCTAGGTGAAACAGTTAATTCGAAGTCAATTCAAAACATCGAAAGTCAATTATTGCCGTTCCATCGATTTTCCACCTGCTGCTCTCCCACTAATGGATTTGCGGTACTGTTTTGGGTGCACTCACAACTAATTCGTAGGGTTCTGCTCGTTTTAACTTCGCCGTCTTTGGTGCAGTATCCGCTTTCGATCCTTCAATTCTATTCGCACAGCATTCCATCCGACCAGAGTTAAATTTAAGCGTTGCGAAACTACCGCCTCGATTGAATTCACTGCATCCGTCAAGGAAAGACTACGCATATAGCACAGCACCGTGACAGCAAATGCGTATACCCACTAACCACTGCGCCCCTAATATTACGCGTGGTAATTTTGCCTAAACATTATGTTGCCTTATTATATCATTGTTATGGGATGTGCCGTTCCAGAAAAAGAGCGATTCAAGGTAGGAATTCTTCTGACCGAGCACAATCAGAGATAGCTGACGTCCTTTGTAATCGGCGACATAATTCACCTAATGTATAGGAATACAGCGCACGCACTGTACTCCATTAACCATATCAGCCTTACACAATCATTTCCACTGAATTACAGATGTACTAAGCCAATATTTCCATTCCCCATATCTAAACTGCAGTCCTGGAATCCAGTCTGGAGCTGGTACCAGTTTGCCAAGCACCCGACGAATAGATGACTTCGTTTGACCACACTCCCATTGCATTTTGGCTCTACGCTATGCGTACCTCCTATGCCGCACACTCCGTTTAACCACTTCATTAAAGTAGTAGTATTGTTTACCGATATTCTCGACCAGAACATAAACCCCTTCTTAACTAATTCACCGAAAAAACCTACCATCTTCCGCTACTTATCGGTGTGGCGCAAAATGCCCAATTTAATGAAACATCGCGTTCGAATAAAATCAGGCTATTTGGATATGACAAGCTCAATGTAAGCACTACGACATTTTTTACGGATTTCTGTTTAGACCGTTATTAGATTCCAGAAAAAATGAATGAGCTTACTCCACTAATGAGAAACTGTGTTAGAAAAACATGATTCACGACACCACAAGAGCTAAGCAACTCCTTTTCACTAAAGCCTTTCCACTTCATGTCGCATTGACATTTTCATGAACACCCGTGTTGCCGCTCGTATATCATCTTGATACATCAGGCCCAAACAGTGGAATAAATTACGAATCAAAGATGAACTCATGGATAAAAGGAAATCTTAGAGATGTAAGAGATCGACTTCATAAAAAGACTATTTTCCTTTCAATAACAAATTATACTGCTTGTAGAAATTGTAGAAACATAGTGACAAAATGTTCGGAAATTGTACTGAAATGTCGTATTAGTAATGAATAAGTGAGTAACAGCCCAATTAAAGAGTTAGTTCAAAAAGTTAGTCCATATTGTCCTCGTCGTCGATCTTCGGCGCTAGATAGAACCGTAGGTGACCATTTTGCTGACCAGTTGCTTTTCCATCGTCGGTTAGCGGATACCTAGATGTAGAATCTCTCTGTACCGAAAATACACTCCAATACCTTTAAATAAAAATAAGTTCATTTATGAACTTACTCTACCACTATAGGAACATCGTTGCACAAAGAAATGCGCACACGGCTAGACAGTGACGTTGCTTTTGTAAACTGGTTCATGTACTTGATCGAGAAATTTACATTAACAGGATCGGTAACCTCTAGCGAGATGGTCTGAAATGAAGACTACTACTATCAAGTAGTTTACTGAGCAGTGCCCTCCCAACGGTTTACCGCCTCATCGTGGCTGAGAGGTGTTCCTCGATGTAGCACTGGGATGTCCAGCAGGGTGATTCATCTCCCCGGTAGAGTCTCTCAAGCTGAGAAGGAGTCCAGCCTTTCCATCAGGAAGCCTAGCTAAGAGTACCAATACCAGGATCCGTCACCGTCCTGGTACCAAACTAATCGCATGGTGCAAATCTCCCTCGTATTCACAACGGCGTCGACTGTCTGTGGAGGTGACCTAGAGCAGACTTTGGCCTGGCTGGCCTCGGGACTCCAGGGAATTTCAGCTACCAGGCATGACGGCTAAACCAGCAAAACTTCGAAAAAATTGGAGATTATACTGGGGTCCACACCAACAGTGCGGACGAGCCATCCAAGATTCAAAGTAATTACATAGTGTCAAACAAACTGGAAAGATTACGAATACCTCATCCTCATTGTCTGCATTGCTACTCGGTGAGTAGGTGATGACCGATTGTCCTGTGTCACCTTTCCCAGTGAAAACGATACCAGCCTGGAAATCGTGAAAAACTCACTCATTACAACAAATTCTCGCATAAAGCCCCAATAGTACCTTAGTAGCAGTAATATTGAGCGAATCACTGAACATCGACAGATCCTTGCACGTTTTCTGGAATTCGGACGATGGCATTTCGCATACAACGGCGTAATCTTGCTCAGGGATACCAAGGTGCTCACTGTCTATGTCCATCATTTTCACTGTCACATCCTGCAGTTGGAATCGGAAATAGAAAATAAAGTACTCTTTTGTCACCAATCTTAGACGGAGTACACCCTCCAGAAAACTCGAGAATGGCGGAAAACCACAGACCTGAGTTTTGTCCCTCTTTATGTCAGCGAATGTGAACGTAATACTATCACTGTCACCTTCCTCGAATTTAATCATACACGTATCGTCGTTATTTGCGCATTTCAAAGCTTTCGACATGTTCGCCAGCGACATACCGAGGTTGATTGTCCGATCACAGCGATATGTATCGAACAGACCAACCTAAATGCACTCAACTTCTATCTAATCGAGCTTGTAGAACAACACCATCTATTTCTACGCCCTATACAGCTATTTATTTTCAGCGACTCCTCAACGGACAGCAGCTATCCAGAAAGTCACAAAAAGTTAATTCCTGCTATTTCCCGAAATTGGGGCTAGCGTGGAGCAGTGTTCGGAGGAGCCCTGCATTACACATGTGATCAATTCCAGCGCACAAGGACCACCAAGCCTTCTATTCATCCGAGGTCGCCAAATTGGAACCAGAGTTGTCTGGAAGGGCAGCAGCACTGCATCGATACAACGGTAAGCCATTACGAATCATCATAAAGGCCAGATATGCTTTCGATCAAACCTCCAGCGATGCCAAATGATGTCGAATGCATGGCACATCCCTCAGAGATTGATTAACGCAGAAGATCAGCTTTAACCTTTTATTTAGTAATTTCTTTAGATCTACTATGATATTACTATGATCTATATTATTATTCAAAAGATTTAAGCCTTACTTCCAATTTGAGAGACACGAGTGCCACGTGGGATGAGTCCATTGCTTGAAGACACATGGCTGATTCTGAACAATCGAAAGGAGCGTCAGTTACAAGATCCTAGAACAATGATATCAAGAAGAATTTACAGAAAGATGCAACTGGAACATTCCAGGATATCTCAAACCTTGATTGACTCAATGATCTTCTTGAGAAGGGCTGCATTGGCAAGCTTAGCCTCGAACATCTTGACGGAGGGTTAGTCACTTTAAAATAAAACATGAAATAGTTAACATTTAAAAGACCTCTATGGTATCAAAACGACACGAAGAGCGACTACCAATCTGAGAACTTATCAGACTTAAAGCATGAGCACATCTATTACGAAAATACCAGACCATAACTGTTGACATTTCCAACAGGCAAAACGGTTACTATACCAGAAAGTTAAAGCTTTCTTTCAATGAACAGTTACAACAAGCTAGAAACATCACAATGAAGACGCAAAACATGACTGAGCAGGCAGGGATGCCATTTAGGCGCTAATTCGCGAGTTTCCCGCTCTCAGCCTTCAAAACAGCATCTAATTGACATTGGAGCAGATTATGGAGTGCAGTAATAACTGAGTGAAGCTCAGTAACGTACAGCGGGAACTTTCCTTAGTCGCCTTAAAAATACGATTTTCATACCGTATTCTCTCGACTTCATTTTGGTTCAGGATTAGAGTTCCCGAAGACTAAGCTGAGAAAGTGACTTGAATTTTGACATTTTCAACCCTAGCGCGGCACTTACGAGCACATATGATACACTGAGAAACAGTGTCGTATTCTTTCGACAAAATCTCGCTGTTTGAATCACATTACTGTCTGGAATACTCGGTTCAACGACAAAGAAAGTCTTCTTGGGCTTGATGAAAGTTGCGGCCTATTATCAGTTATAGGAATTGAAATCCGCAATAAAAACTCCTTTAAATCCGCTGTTATGGACCTCAGTAACAGATTATGAAGTACCAAGGAAAATAAAAAGAGTGTAGGGAAATCTAGAATCAGGAATCGAAACGAAAATGGAGGACGTTTTGTGGGACTAGTATCCACATCACGCTTCTTTAATACATTTACGAACACGTCCCAGCAATCTACCTATGGCTAACTTTCGCCAATAAAACAGTAAAAAATAAAGGACTAATGAGGAGGCTTAGTGGAGTCATGGCCCTCGAAAGCGGAGTCCATTGCTTAGTTCTGACCAGTGAAAGACAAGCGTGGAATCTATTCCTTCACATCACTCGATGATCAATGGAAGCACATGATACAACTGATACCGCTGCATGGTGATTTCTTCAGGAAAGCTCGATGACAATATTCAGATCTTGCTCGATGGCAATGGCCCATGTCGTAATTTGAATCTCACGCAGAAGCAAGCAATTCTTTTCATTTATAATATGGAAAACAAGAACATCTCAACAAGAAGGAAGAGTAACAGTTGAAGTAATGAATTAACAAAGGGACTGTAAGTACTAATGAACCATTAATAGAACATCTTTTTCATCCTACGAAGTACAAGTTCCTCAAAAGTAGAGATATACGAATATAGTAAAGGCTGGATATTTACATCCTACGAAGTACAAGTTCCTCAAAAGTAAAGATATACGAATACAATAAAGTCCAAGTTCGTACTGCATCAGAATATTACTCCCGCTTTCTTCCATTTCCTTTCCTTCCCCTCCCGATACGAGCTGCCTTTTTCTTAAGGTTTTCCAATCTTCGGTGTTCCATGTAATCTTGTAACATGGCAGATCTCTTTCTGATCTTCCTTATTTGGCTGACGTTTCTAATCTCCGATTTCGCACTCTAAAAATGTCGAAGTCAAAAGTTGTCCAGAAAAATCGGTCAGGCGAAGTTAAATCAGTAAAACACACCTTAGCCTGTCGTCTGTTATTATGGTTCTTCCACTTATTTCTTCGAGATTTATTCCCTAAAGAACGAACAGCTTCCTCATCACTAAGTTCCTCTTCGCTATTCTGCAGTAATAATAAGTTAGCTCTTAGGAAAATAAAGGAAAAACCCATGCAGCACCACTATGACCTTCTTGTAGCCGAGTTTCTGTTTTTTCTTCCAATCTTCGTAACGTCCCGTTTTATAGGATGCTGGAAGCCATGTGCCATCCTCGGTACGTATTCTCTTGATATCTTCACCATCACCAGCACTTCCAACAAATCGTTTTTTCTTTCGATCCCTTAAAAATACATAAAGAACACAACAATTTTTTGTGTTAGAAGTCTAGAGTTGATCAGTAAGCAGTGAGCCTGCATATGCCTCATAAATGTGGCGTTAGCGAGCGAAGACCTACGAATTGAAGACAATCACAGGACTACGAAAAAGGTGTGACAACTCAGAAAAACCATTTCACAAAACAAAACGTTAAGGATAGAAGTCCGTAATCTGGGATTGACACTGCTCTATAGATCAACAACATATAACACATTTATAGTACTTGCTATCCGATATTCGAACAGCTGTAATCTTATTAGTTCAAACATACTAAGACGCATTACAATCGTACATCTGTGGGAGCATGGATGTTGGTGTGGTTTTCACAAATTCAGTTGACGAACAATCAATGAATAGTGAATATATGTAATAGATAAATTGTTCTTCACTGTGAATTGTGCTACTAAATCAACAACCGAGAAAGGATGGCCAGTTTGATTAAGGCCAAGGATAAAAGCAAAAAACTCTCGGCGTTGATCAATCGCTGAGAGTTGCGCCAGGCATTCAACTTCACTAAGCACCGTTTGGAGGTGATTGAATGCATAGCTGGCCTTTACAATGACTCGCGATGTCCTGCCGTTGTGTCAAGCCAGTGCTGTTACCCTCTCAGACAAGCCTGGTGCCGATTTGGCAACCCTGAAGGGATGGAGGGCTTGGTGAGCCAAGGGCGCCGAGATCGATCTCACATATGTTGCAAGGCGCCTCCGACCAATGCGCCACACGCGCTCCTTGCTTAATAAAGGGTGCAATAAACTGAACGATGTTTTGCATAAAATATCGCGTCGTTACAGAACATGCGGTTTGGTTGATACAATGAGAAACGAAGACTATAAGAAACGAGAAGAAACGAAGATTCACCATCTTTTTACGTGATTTTGTCTATACATCCCTTTGTCATCATCTGCGAATATCTCCACTACTGCGCAATCGGCTTGCCGTGCAAAATCTACCTTATCGAGTGCTAGATGTTTCTCAGATTCGTAGTCTGCTGACGAATATGCAACAAAGTGACGAGCCTTAAATACAGGAGATGGTCTGCGAATAACAATAATAGGAGCTAGAGAAAAAAAAGTTTTAAGAGGAAAATACAGTACCTTCTCTTTTTTTCTTTCTTCAGCCTTGCTAATCTTATTCGATAGCTTCGCTTTTCCTGCATTACCAAAATCTCCTCGCCAAACTACCTCCGTAAATACCTTTGCCTTAAAACAGAAACTTTTAGCTGCAAGAGTTTAGCTCAGAACCATTTATCTTTATGTGCTTACAATTTCTGCTTCATTTGCTTGCTCATCATTTGAACGTTCTGCTACCTCACGGTTGCAATCTTGTTTATTAGAAAGGACTTCCTTCCTCAAGGTAGTGATCTCACTCATTTGGCGAATGCGTTCTTGGTGTTGACGTCGCTTTTCTTTCATTACAGCAGCAGGATAAGATTTATTCCCAACATTCAGCTCAAAAATTGTCTGAAAATAGAGGTTAAAGTATAACTAAAAAAAGATTTAAAAAATCTACCGGGATGATTCGGTCTAAAAGTTCAAGGAAGGTACAATTCCCTATACTTGGAGACTTAACTGCAATTTGACTGATTATAACGCACCACAGAGCTCTTATAATTTGCCAATTTGTTAACTATACTGTACTGCTGACTATCACCAGCTGTACGTAAGAAAGGATGAGAAGAACATTCCGACAGCTTCATCCTGAAACATACAAAAGTTTGTTGTTCTAAAGTGATGTATGAGAACATTTGAAGGATCAATACCGATCACTGAAAACATGTCGATAATACTGCCCAGCAATACTAACACAATACGAAATCAAAAATAGAAAGATTGAGCGATTACCTACCTTAACTCCTCCTTCACTCTCCTAGCTGACTCAGCAGACGGTGGAGGACGAGTCCGCGTAAAACGCATCATGGCGTTTGCTGCCTTTTTTTGAAGATCAAGCTAAAATATTCGCCAATATTTGGACTTCGAAAGACTTTATAATGTCAAATTACCATCTCTTCATTATTGTCATGAATCGAATTGAAGAAATCTGACTCGAGACCAACAATGCTCTCAGGTGTTTTTCCAATAAGAGTGATTTCTTCTAAAACACTTTAAATTGCTGGAATTTCAAATAAAAACTTAACCCGTTAAACCAGCTGACTTATGAAAAAAAGTATAAAATAAAGGATACGGCTCTCGGCGTTGATCTAACCCTGAGGAATGCGCTATGAATTCGACTTCATTAACCAACGTTGGAGATGACTGAATGTACATCTGACACATACAATAACTCGCGGAGGGCCCACTAATCTGTCGAGCCAGTACTTTTATCTTCCCATACAAATCTAGCACCAATTGACCAACCCCATAGGGTTGGAGGGCTTGGTGGCCCTGAGGCGTGGAGATCGACCCCATGTGTATTGCAGGGCGCCTCCGACCGCTGCATTACACGCGCCTCTTAATCTATGAAACAGTTTAGAATAAACAGGTGCGTAGCACACGCATGCATTCCCGTAGGAGCAACTCGGGTGCAGAGAAGTAGCACAAATCCTTCAATTTGGTACTAAAGACCCTTAATAGGTGCATAACTCAATTTCAACCTTAAACATTCATATTGGCCATATATTTGTGAACAATATTCTAAACAAAAAAGTGATTTTGGAAAAAAAGAACTTTTTCCATATTTTCTGTAATTTCACTCTGGAACTTACTATCGTATTTATCATCGTCACGGGCAAACTGCATTGGCTTTCCTAAAAAGAGAAAGAGGTCGGTGAGATACGGAAGCTCATCAGGAGCAATAAGCGAAATGGCAGTTCCACTTCGTCCTGCTCGTGCCACACGACCGACACGATGAACGAACAATTTCGCTTTAGGTGGGAAGTGAAGGTTTATAACCTGTGAATTGTACCGAGCTATTTAGAAAGGTTAATTAAAAGTAAAATTTCTTTCAGCGTAATGGTTGGGAAAAAGGTACCGTATCAAGGAGAGGAATATCCACACCGCGCGCAGCAACATCAGTTACAATGAGGATATTATTCTTCCTCTCGGTGAATCTAGAAAATACAGTCTAGACATAAGGAAGAGTCCATGGAAAAAGAGAAAAAAGAATAAACTTTACCTTGCGATGTTTAGTTTTCGAGCAGTGGCATCAAGCTGGCTATATATGAAGGAATTATCGATGCCGGCTCGATTCAAAATCGCAACCACATACATAAAATACAGTTAGATTACGAATTAAGATAACAATAATGAAATAGGAATAAATAACTAAGCACTGGGCCGCGTGCAGTACAGTGAACGGAGGCTCCCTACGATAGACATGGGATCAATCCCCTTGTAATAAGTTCACCAAGCCTTCCATCCCTCCGGTATAAGCAAATTGGTACCAAACTTGTCTGGGAGGATAGCAGCATTGGCTTGATACATCGGTAGGCCACCGCGAGCCATTGTGAAGGCAAGAGATGCATTCAATCACCTTCAAGCGATGCTTAGTGAAGTCGAATTCATGGCCCATCCGTCAGGTATTGATCAATGCCCAGAGCTTTACCCATTTAATGGAGCACATAGATCCAATGGAATAGCTTACCAAGTTTTCATACTCACTGATGAGGCATTTAACAGAAGCAAAATCACTTGAAGATCAAATGAATTGCGGAGTAGGAGGAATTAGGTTTCATACAGCTAGTAAACTCACTCGACATGCTTCATTGTAGCACAAAACACCAGAGTTTGACTGTTCTCAGCGTTCATCTGTCTGCACAAATGTAGCAAAACAGCAAGTTTTTCGTCAACCCTACATAGTGCGAATACCATTGACAAACGATCCGAAATCTTTTCGTCGACATCAAGGCGAACTGAATTGATTTCAGGCACAGATAAACTTCAAATCTCTAAAAATTAAGCATTCAAAGTGCTAATATATATGAAACCAACCTACCTAACATCGGATCTGTCAATCCTGCTTTTGCGAAATCCACTAAGATTTTCGGAAGTGTGGCAGAGAAAAGCAACGTTTGCCTACATTCTGGAATTCGCTTAAGAGTTTCCTAAAACGAAGTCAAAACACACTTGCATCTCATGCAGTGAACATTGTTTCAATTCCTGGAAAAAAGCTAAGACAGAAGGAAAATCGGCTGGTACCGTACTATTAACTGATCCTGGAATCCCATTTCGAACAGCCGATCCGCTTCATCGAATACCACGTATTGTACGAAACCGAGTCGGAGATTCATTTCGACTATGACATGAAGGAGACGTCCCGGGGTTGCAATTAATCTATAATCGCTGTACATATGCTAAAAATATGAGAGTTAAAGATGATTATAATGGAGCTCGCTATCGAAAAAAGAGAGGGTCAACTTACATATCAGGGTTTTCATGAATAGTGGAGAACTGGTCTTCAATAGCGTCTCCTCCGACAAGGATGGCACAGCGCAAGCCAGTGAACCGTCCAAGCTGCATTGAAGTAGATGAAGTAGCTCGGAAGTGAACACAGAAAAAACTGACTAAACAGAAATTACTCCACAAAACTATGGAAATCAAACCTCCTTAACTACTTTAAATGTCTGAAGTGCGAGTTCCCTAGTCGGTGAAACCAACAGAGCACGAATGCCCTTGGTGTCCCTGTGCTTCAATCGTTGCAACATGGGAATAACGAATGCGGCCGTCTTTCCACTTCCTAAAATCGTAAGCATTTGGCATAAATAAGGATTACAAATATAGTGAAAGCACTTTTTCTGATTTCATATGACACGTTTTCACGTCTACTGTGAGCTATCCCCACATTCGATTCGTGTCTTCGCATCCATCGTCCACAAAGATCTACCAACTTTTACGTGTGGCTTCGGTTGCTGTATGAGGATTTTCACTTCATCTTAAATGTCATAGAATGCTAGGCGAGTCCATTGCAGAGAGCAATTTTTTCCCGGACAAGTCCGGACCTAGTTGGCCCGAAATCGAACTGCCACCATGATCGTGATGACCGACCTTACTATCACTGTGCTACCAACTCCTCTGTGAAAGCATTAGATTGTTAAAATATTCATTTATAGGAGAACAGAACTAAAGAGAAAATGTCGAACCTGTACGAGACATCGCCACGACGTCTTTACCATCAAGAATACATGGAATTGTCTTCCTCTTAAATATAACAGGAGTAGAAATGATATGCCAACATGCTAAAGAATTCTAAACATACCTGGATAGGTGTTGGCTGCTTGAAACCTTTTCTCTCGATGCCTTTGAAAATCGCATGATCGAGTCCTAAATGGCGAACAAGAAATCCAAGTAGGGAAAAAACAGAAGAAATAGGAAATGACTAAAAAGGTTAGGCATTGCTTACCCATCGACTGCCATCCTCCAGCTTTTCTTTTCTTTCGATTTCTATCGGAGTGAAGCTTAGAATAGTCCTCTTCGTCGTCAGACATGTTCCTCTGTTAAGGAACACCTTAAGACGCTCCCACTAAACTTATCATTGTAATGAGGCACAATACAGACATAAAACAAATAGGACTAAAGTTAATGGCGAGGATAAAATAAGGATAAAGCTCTCGGTTCCGATCTATCCCTGAGCAATCCCCATGCAGTCGATTTCATTCAGTACTGTTGAAGGTGATTAAAGGTATATATGGCCTTTAAAATGACTCGCGATGGTCTACCGATGTGGTGAACCAGTGCTGCAACCTTCCTAGGCAAGTCTGGTACCAATTTTCTGACTCCGGGGAGATGGAAGGCTTGGTGAGCCTGGAGTGCGGGGATCGGTCCCATTTGTATTGCAGAGCACCTCCGATCACTGCGATACACACGTTTTGGAGAACGGAAAGTAAGAAAGTAAATGAAGCAAACACCTCAAAACAAATTCCTGAAAACAACAAGAACAAGCTGGGCACAAACGTAGGAAATCAAACTCTCAGATAATCCACGAATAAAATTGTGGTTTCACGGACATTTCTAATCTCACGGAAAAAGATTATGAAGAGTACGGTATACTGAGCGCTGTGTGTTCATTGATGTGATCTCTCATCTTTAGCAAGTCATTTCACAAAATACAGCTTTAACAGCTACGAATGGAGTAAAGTTAACGTTGCACGTGGTTGATTTGAGAAATGCGATTGATTTGTACACAACTACAACTATCTATTGTAGCAAAACTGGGCTTTTTAAGTACTCATCTAGTTCTTGAAATTAAGGGTGTGCAAGAGACAAGCCACGAACGGTAACTTGCCGTGGACATAGAAGCACGGAGTCCTTCCAGCATGGGAACTGTGTCATGGACAGAGAAGCATGATGTCCTGGCAAAATGGGAACTCTGTCATGGACATAGAAGCACGATGTCTTCCAACATGTGGACTCCATCTTGGACATTGAAGCACAATCTCTCCAGCATGGGAAGTCTGTTGTGGAAATACAAGCACGATGTCTTTCCAGCATGGGAACTGAGTCGTGGGCATAGAAGAATGATGTCCTTCCAAAATGTGGACTCTATCTTGGACATTGAAGCACGATGTCTTTCCCGTACTGGAACTCTGTCGTGGACATACAATGACGATGGCCTGGCAACATGAAAACTCTGTAGTAGACAGAGAAGCATGATGTCCTGGCATAATGAGAACTCTGTCATGGACATAGAATCACGATTTCCTTCCAACATGTGGACTTTCTCGTCGACATAGAAGCACGATGTCATTCCAGCACGGGAACTCTGTAGTGGGCAAAGAAGCACGATGTCCCTCCAGCATGGGAACTCTGCCGAGGACATACAATGACAATGTCCTGACAACATCGGCGTTCTGTCACCGACATAGAAGCACGATGTCCTGGCAACATGGGACCTTTGTCGTGGACATAAACGCGCGATGTCCTAACAGCATGAGAACTCTCTCGTGGACATAGAAGCACGATGTCCTTCGAACATGTGGACTCCATCTTGGACATTGAAGCACAATGTGTCCAGCATGGGAAGTCTGTTGTAGACATAGAAGCATGATGTCTTCCATCAATGGAACTCTGTAGTGGACATAGAAGCATGATGTCCTCTCAACACGTCGGCTCTATTATGGACATAGAAGCACGATATCCTTGTAACATGGAAACTCTGTCGTGGTCATACAATGACGATTTCCTGGCAACATGGGAACTCTCTAGTGGACATAGAAGCACGATGTCCTCACAACATGTCGCCATTATCTTGGACATAGAAACACGATGTCCTGGCAACATGGGCATTCTGCCATAGACACAGAAGCACGATATCCTCCCAACACGTCGACTCTATCTTGTACATAGAAGAACGACGTCCTTGTAACATGGGAACTCTGTCGTGGACATACAATGACGATGTCCTGGCTACATGGGCATTCTGCTATGGACAGAGAAGCACGATATCCTTCCAGGATGGGAACTGTGTCGTGCACATAGAATGGCGATGTCCTGCAACATGGGAGCTGGACATAGAGTGGACATAGAAGCACGATATCCTTGTAACATGGAAACTCTGTCGCGGACATACAATGACGAAGACCTGGCAACATGGGTACTCTATCGTGCACATAGAAGAGCGATGTCCTCCCACGATGGGAGCTCTTTCGTGGACAGAGAAGCACGATGTCCTGGCAAAATGGTCATTCTGTCATGGACATACAATGACGATGTCCTGGCTATAGAGAATTCTCTATTTGCATAACTAATACAGTCCAAGGATCGATGAGGATCGCGTGGCTGCAACGCCGAGCGCGTCCTTTGCGTCCATATCCCGTTCTGGCCATGGGGCACATGCAGTAGTCCCGCCATTTGACCCAATGGCGCCGTGGAGACCGTCCTCGCCAGCTCCATCATTAGTTGCACCCCGTTTGATTTTACCTTGCAGATTCATTTGCTTTGGTCATAATGATAGTATTTGTAATCCTTAGCCCTTGAATTGCTGACACATTAATGTCATCGTTGATTTTCGTGTAATTATGTTATCCGTGTTAACATAAGTTAAATACGTTCATTGCTAATAGGTACCTCACCAACGGTTCATTGTTCTTGCGCACTCTCGCGAACGCCCCTCATATCCTTGAGCTGTGAGCCGTTACATTGGTGTGTTGAACAAGTCGACTCGAACCCAAATTAACGGGCACCAGTCGATTCAAACTTCAAGGAGCAAGAAACGCTCATCGAAACGAACCAAACCTCAACACGGGAATCTACCTAGAAGTACGTTACATTAATTCTCAAATGGAAAAACAATGGCAACGATCCTGTCCGCTCGCCAAGGACAAATAACAAAGGTGATCAATCGCCTAGTATTCACCTTAAATATCTATCAGAATGAAATAGACACGCCAGTAAACCTTCCGTCCGAACAAGCTGGCAGAATCGAGTACATTACTGGACGGCAAAGAAAGGTAGAACACGCAAAATCGGCCATTGAACATGAACGAAACAACGTCCAGACCGTGTTGGATGCTTATGCCATGATGGCAGACCAACTCCAGGAAAACCCCAATACGCAAGCAGAAGACGAGCTGCAACGCACTGCCAATAAGAACGTAGAAGAAACAGTTGAGCACCTCGACAAGGCGGAACGCTGCCTCTCTAAGCTAATCGACTTGGGAATAACGTTGGAAGACACCGAGACATACCCACGAAGGGACTCAAATGTCCATCCACTTCTGACGAATCTACCACCCGTTCCTATTCCGAAATTCAACGGAGACATAAGAGAGTGGGAAGCATTTTGGAGAGCATTTAATTACAATGTGCACTCCCGCCGGATGGACGACCTCCAAAAAATGACCTACTTTGCTGGACGCCCTTCAGGGAGAAGCAAGAGAATGCGTCAAACAGTATCAAGTATCGCAAAGGACTTATGCGGTAGTAATACAGCATCTGGAAGAAAAGTACGACAACAAACAAGCTCTCGTCCGTGATTTGTTTCGTAGACTACGTACAACAGAAGCAAAGATTGAACGCCTCGAAGATCAGGAAAAATTGTGGAAAACCCTTCACTCGATAGTTGTTCAAATGCAAAAAAAGGGGAACTGTTCGATACTCTGCTCCTACAGCAACTACTCTTAGAGAAATTCACAAAAGAGATTCAAAGGCATGCTCGGCAAAAAAGACGACAGAGAGCAGAAGAGGCACGAACATGCGAACTGCTAAAGGATGTTAAAGACTACATAAAAGAGGAACTAGAACTACGGGACCGAGAGCAAGAAAAGCCCACGTTAAGAACGGAACACATAAATCGGCCAGAAAGGACGTTCAAAACTACACGATATACATGCTTATACTGCAACAAAGGAGGACACTCACCAAACGATTGTGAGGTGATAGGAACTCAACAAGAAAGAGTACAAATTATTAAAACTCGCAACCTCTGTTACAATTGCGGTTCATCATCACACCAGCTGCCCAACTGCAAAGCGGGCCCGTGCCGAAATTGCAATAAACACGGATACCACACGTCCATTTGTAGGTATCAGTACGGACCGACTGAATACAAGCCGAGAAAAGGAGGAAACACTACAAGTGACAGAACAAAGGCACCTTCGAAATTACCAAATATCATTCCAAGGGAGAAGAAGCCAAGTTCATCAAAAATCAATGCGGTAACTTCTGATGAGACACAGCCGGAGGATACCGTCGTTCTTCATACTAGGAGAGAACTCGCACCCAACAGTCAAATTTTAGCAGGACAGGCGGAAGTATTCAATTCCACCAAGACGAGACGAGAATTAACGGAGGTGATCTTCGATACAGGATCTGACCGTTCGTTCTTTACTAATGCGCTGGCCAATCGCCTTCAACTACGAGATAGTGATTCCATCGAATTAAACATTCACACATTCGGCGACCCAAACCCAATTACTATGACATGCGGAGTCACTACGTTGAAATTGAGGGATGCCTTTGGTTCGGAGCACGAAATTACGGCAACTAGAATTGATAAGATAACACAACCTCTTTAACGATTCAATCTAAACGTAGAGGACACAGAATTTCTCGAGAACCATAAAATTAAGCTTTCGATCAATCCAGCTCTTAACACTATATATTCAGAGATCCTTCTCGGGTGCTCAGACTCAGTTACCATGCTTGATAGTGGATTAATTCCAACAAGAATGTTGCCATCAGGATTGAAGTTAATCCCATCCAAACTGCAATATCTCGTGACAGGAACGCTTCACGATCGAATCGATACATCGAGAGAGAGTGCGTCTCTCATGACGGATGCCACACATGCATGTCAGCACATAACGGAACAGCAGTCATGGGAAAGATATTGGTCATTGGAATCATCAGGAATCCATGAATACACAGGACCAAGCGTACAAGAACGACAGCAACAGAACGACAATATCTGGGAACAGTTTCAGAGAACAATAGAAAAACGAGAAGACGGCTATTATGTCCGGCTTCCTTGGAAAAATGAAGCAGACACGTTGCCAGATAACAAAAGCATCGCAGTAAAACGATTGCAGGCGACAATAGCGAATCTAAAGCATGATCCAAGTACGTTCGAAAATTATCATAAAACCATCAAGGAACAACTGGATCAAAACATCATTGAAGAAGTTGACCAATCAATACCAATAAAAGGAACGATAATACATTACCTTCCACATCAAGCGGTCCTCACACCCAACAAAGGGACTACAAAGTTGAAAAGTGTTTACGATGCATCTGCTCATCTCAAGAAGCTTTCCTCGTTAAACGATGTACTTCATCAAGGCCCATTGTTCCTACCAAAAATATACGACATTTTACTTCGGTTTCGCATCGGAAATATCGCAATAATTAGCGACGTCGAAAAGGCTTTCCTACAAATACGGCTGCACGAAACAGATAGAGACGCTACGCTATTTCTATGGTTCTGAGATATCTCTCAACCTTTGGAGCCAAGGAACATAACCGTGTACAAATTTACACGAGTTGCATTCAGACTGAATTGTTCACCATTCCTTCTAGCAGGAACAATTAAACACCATTTAAATAACTGTAAAAATGATCCTAAATTCGTCAAACACCTCATCAGTAACACTTATGTAGATAACGTGATTCTAACAGCCGCCTCAATACAAGAAGCAGTGTTGACATACAGAGAGGCAAAGCAGATATTCAAGGATTTGAATATGAATTTACGTGAATTTCTTTTAAATGACAAGGACTTTCTACAGCAAATTTCACAAAAGAATAAGGCATCAAGTGGTCTACAAAAGGTCTTAGGAATCCCATGGCGTTCCACAGAAGACAAACTCCTTATCTCATGCAGATATCCAACAGAATCAAAACTAACTAAACGAAGCATCGCCGAACAGGTAGCTGCTATATACGATCCTATGGGCTGACTCACGCTAAGAGGGAAGCAATTCCTTCAAAGCCTCTGGAACTTCAACTATACGTGAGACAATCCCCTATCAAAAGAACACAAAGACCAGTGGGAAAAGATCGTTGATGATTTTAACGGGTTCGAAACCTTCATCCCACGAAAAATAGCCCAGATCGGAGCTTCAACCAGACTAATTCTCTTCGCGGATGCTAGCAAACACTGCATGGCCAAGAAATCGCTCTCAATTGGATACGGTCTAACGAGGTACACAATTCAGCAGGCGTGTTGGTAAAAAACCGCATGAAGGAAATACGACGAATAGTGGGAAATATGCCAACACCTGTACAATTTGGATACATAGCCACTGATTAAAACGCCGCTGATTGCGCTACAAGAGGATTAAACAAAATCGAATTAAAAGACCACATATGGTGGAAAGGACCGGCATTCATCAGAAAACTACACTCACAAAATGATCAACTTCTTCTCACCTTAGAGCAAAAACGTATACAAAAGGCACAGGTATCCACAACTACAGCAATAGCCACCACACCCGTCGAAGAATTACCGGACTGGAAGCGATTCAATAGACTTGGAAGAGCAAAAGGAACAACCACATATGTCCTCAGATTCATCAGCAGATCCAGCTCCAAACTACGGAAGGAACTGCGCAGCCGAATATGCAAGAATATCCCGGAGCTCCAGGCAATGTCAACAGAGATATACGTTGCGGCCATAGAGCAAGAAGCAGCCTTACGAGTTTTGATACGAAACCACCAAACAGTTCATTTTTCTTCACGATCGATGAAAGATTACAAGCATTAAACCATATCAGGATGAATGGAGACTCATTTGGTGCAAAGGCAAATTAAATAAAGCAGACCTGGCACGTGAAACTCAGCAACCTATTCTAATCAGCTCAAAAACAGCGTTAGCAGAATTAATAGTTGTCGAGGTACATCTCCCATTCCATGATGCAACAAGCCATACCATAGCCAAGGCACGTGAACGATTCTGGATGACAGGCATAAGGCAAATTGCTAAGAAAGTTATAAGACGATGCCTACCCTGTCAAAAGATGAACAGTCTCCCTTACAATTATCCGCCGATGGACGACCTGCCGGAAAGAAGAGTGAGAAGATCGCGACCGTTCGAGTATGTAGGTGTGGACTATTTCGGACCACTAACAGCGAAAAATAGTGAGGGAACGACAAAGGTCTACGGCATCATCATACCATGTGCGACAACCAGACTACTTCATTTAGAACTCGTACAGAACGTGACGACGAATGCTTTCCTGCTAACTTTAAGGCGATCTTTCGCTAGACGAGGAGTGCCCAAAACTAGCACCTCTGGTAATGCATCTA